CTTTTCTTCATTATGTGAGGATTACTTTATTTTGATAGGTCTTGAATGATTTTAAATTTCGTAATCTCTTATCTAAAGTTAAAAACTTATTTTCTAACCTTAACTTTAAATGTAGTATTACAAAAAGAATTTTTAACAGAGTTAAAATTCTTTAAAATGTATTATTTTAATAATCCTTAATTTTTTAAAAATTCATTTTTCCTACTATAAATAGTAAAATCATTTCCCTACTATTTTCTACTAAACATCTTAACTTTAGATTCATCCTTTTTATTAAAGTTTTTACTAAGTTTTCTTATGTCATTTCTATAATTAAAATTTTAGAAATCTTAAGATGACTCCACATAACAAAAATCATTTTTCAAATAAAATTTATTTTCAGTATCTTTTAAGACAACTAAAGTTTAACTTAGAATTTCATTTTTCTTCATCCCCCTAAACTTGAATTTTTAAATATTTTACAATCAAATCCATAAAATGTAGCAGGATGAAAAAGTAAAAGCTGAATCTACCAACTACTACAATATCCTATCAAATTCATATACATGCATATTCAGGATAGAATGACTGCAGAAAAAAGTTAATATAGCCTAAAACATGCTTGCAATAATATTACTCTAAATGGAAGTATACTAACTTTGAAATTTATTTTTCTTCCTCCCTACAAACTTGATTTTTAAGATGTATAACATTCAGTACAAAAAATATAAGCGGGAAGAAAAACAGTTCATAAATTCTATTTACCACAAATGTCTATCCAAAACATTTACAAGTATTCATCTAGATAGAACAATTTGCAATAGAAAGTAAATCTAACTAAACATGCCAAAATAAAATTGAACTAAAGAAAGGTATAACAAGCATGAAAAGTATCATCATAATAATATATATATTTAAGTGTTCCACATGTCCTTTATATTGTTGTAACACAAACACAAACACACATGATAAATGAGGTTAATTCTTCATTTAACTCGTCGCATCTTAGTACCTTACTTCTAGTTTCTAACAAAATCACTACATTGGGTACTTCGTCGCATCTTAGTACCTTACTTCTAGTTTCTAACAGAATCACTACATTAATAAATTGGGTACTTTTAAATATTTTTATCGGGTCGAACCCCAAGGATATGATTATCCCTGATATATTGGCTCATGAATACCAACTTCAGGCATCACCATATCCCTTTAAGTATGCACCTCTAACCGTTATAAGGAAAGTGTAATATCATCCACATGTTGCTCATCAAGTAGGTTCATGACCCTACCGACTGAAAATGTGTTCAGAGAAAGGAAGTAACATAATTGAGATGGAATTGTCATTGCCCAAACTCAAGATATCTCCTGTAAAACTCAAGTCAGGTTGAAACCCAATTCACACTGAACTCGTCAGTCCAACTAGTACAAGAGAACATATACAATTCTAGCCATAATAAGAAGTTAATGAATCACCTCCCTCATGACACACAAAGATCAAATCAATCTATTAACAATCCAAACATCCACCAACATCAATCAAACTGATCAATCCACACTAAAGTAAACAAAATACAACACTAAAAGTCACTCAAGTAGAAAGATTTAACTAATACTTTTTATGAAAGTAAAAATAAGTTTAGGATAGTATTTAAGTTTTCTCATTTAGGAAGGTTCAAGTGAAACCAATTAATTTGGCTTCTCCTCAAACTTCTCCTCACTTCTCATTTCTTTTTTCATTACTTCCTTCTCTCTTTTTTTTTAAAGATCTTTTTCAATCCTTTTATATTTTTATGCGAGGATTATTATATCTAGAAATGTCTTTGATGGTTTTGAATTTCACTAGCCACTTTCTAAGTTAATTACTTATAACATATCCTATACATATTTCAAAAAGAAGAAAAGTATCAGTTTTAAAACAAGTGTAGCACCTTAATTCTTTTTAAAATGTAATAAAACCTCTAGTTTTTCAAAAATACAATTCTTTCATAGTATAAATAGTAAAATCATTTTCCTATTATTTCCAACAAAATATATTAAACTTAGAATAGTCTTTTCAAAAATTTCACTAAATATGTGTTTATAACAATAATCAAATAAGATTACACATGATACTTAGCTTTTGCACTCTGAAAAAAGAATTAAATTCCACCGGACAATGTTTTTCCACAGTGCTACATAAGATGCTATCGTAAAACCCTTACAGATTCTCTCAAATTCCCCTCTCAAATCCCTCTAGAATAAGAGTTCCTACTCCTAACTACTGTCCTTGGAACTTCTTCCCTACTACTAAGATTTCCAAAACTCCCTGTCTGAACTGTCAGCACCCATAATAACTCCCGAATTCGTGTAGAAAGTAACTGTCTGAATTGCAACACCTAGGCGCCACGTCTACGACACCTAGGCGCTGGGCTCTCGGTCTGCTTAAAAAGCTTGGGCCTCTAGGCGCCCAGAACCAGGCCCCAAGGTGTTCAACTACAACACCTTGGCGCCTAAAAGTGGGCGTATAGGTTTCATACCACAATCAACACCTTTGCTTTATTTGGTTCCGTTTTTCTCTGTTTCTGTCTAAATTTGTTACAATGCACCTACCTGTTATACTTGCATCATAAACATAAGAAATAATTTCCATTAATTTGCAGTTTCATTCAAGAGCATGTGTAAAATAAAGAAGAAAATAAGTTCATCTAAAGACATATCAGCTCGTGATTTTAACAAAACAAAAAAATCATCTTCGATTACGCAAACCCAATAATAAATATTATATATATATATATATATATAGGTATGTACGTATGCACGTATATATGTATGTACGTATGCATGTATATATGTATGTACGTATGCATGCATGCATGCATGTATGTATGTATGCATGCATGCATGCATGTATGTATGTATGCATGCATGCATGCATGTATGTATGTATG